TGGTAAGAGAAGAAGCAAGAGAGAGAAACTGAGGAACCCAGGCACTATTTAGCAAGCTGCTGTCTCTGATGTAAAATAATCCATTCCTGAGAAAGGAAGAACTCATTGCAGCCAGAAGGCATTCATGACAGTGGTGTCCCTGTAACCTAAACATCCCCAAGTAGGTCCCACCTCTGAACACTGCTGCCACATTAGGTATCAAATTTCAATATGAGTTTTGGCAAAATAATCACATCCAAACCATGGCAACATTATTGTTGGTGAACATATGAGGAAACGGGCACTCTCATGCCCTGTTGGTATATAGGTGAATTGGTACAATGTGCCGAATTTCTGCACATGTGGACCATCTGGCCTAACAAACCCACTGCAAAACATGAGTATACAAAGGTGTTCATCAGAATATTTTTAGTATTGAAAATTGAAGATACTCTGTGTTCATCTATAAGCAGTGCTTCTCAATCCCAGCTGACTTCATGCCCTTTTGATAATAAATACTTTGTAACACTCCCTTACAGTCCTGAAATGAAAGTCATAGGTACATACAACAAAATATACCTAACTGTAATGTGAAAAGGAATTTATAACAAAATATGCATTTCATCGTGTAAATAGTCAAAAAAAAAAAAAAGATGTATGTCTAAATTCATTGACATAGTGTTTAGTTTTTTAAAAAAAGCAATTTGGATGGATTCAGTAGCTCATGCCTATAACCAAAGCACCTTGGGAGGCTGAGGAGGGAGGATTGCTTGACACCAGGAATTTAAGGTCAGCTTGGGCAACATAGCGATGCCCTGTCTGTACAACAAACAAACAAACAAACAGAAAACAATTAACCAGATGTGGTGGTGTGCCTATAGTCCCAGCTACTGGGGAGGCTGAGATGGGAGGGTCATTTGATCCCATGAGTTGGAGGCTGCAGTGAGTTTGATTATGCCACGGCACTCCTGCCTGGGTGACAGAGCAAGACCCCGTCTCTATAAACAAAGTAAATAATAAATAAAAAACAAAATTTTAAAAAAGCAGCAATTACAGACGTAGTTCTCTTTGTATAAATATATAGTAAAAGGTCTAAAAGAATGCTCACTAGGATATTGATGAATTGACAAATTGTCTCCAGTTATGGGATTTGGAAAGATTTTTATTTTCATACGCATTTCAATGTTTGAATTTCCTTGCCTTTGTAAAAATTAAAAAGTTTGCATCAAGTCCCATTTGAAGATCACAACACAGATCTCTATGGTTATGGAGCAAGGTCATGCCATCTGCAGTGCAGACTTAAACCCCTTTGGTAAAATAGTTTCTGGCCTTTTCCAAGTGGCTGTTGAAGATGTTGAAGGGGCAGGTTCTGGTAATCGGATGGCCTAGGCCTTTCCTGAGTTGCCTGGTGGTCATAATGGCCAAGCAGGTACTGCTGGGCAGGAAGCTGGAGGTCCTGCACTGCAAGGACATCAGCATTTTTGTCAACTTCTACAGGAACAAGTTTCAGTATCTAACCTTCCACAAGACCATGAGCACCAACTCTCTCTTTAGACCCTACCACTTCTGAGTCTCTTCCACTTTCGGGCACCTAATTGCATCTTTTGGCTGAACCATGAGTGGCATATTGCCCCATAAAACCAAGTGAGGCCTGGCCACCTTGGACCACCTCAAGGTATTTGATGGGATCCACACTCCCTGTGCCCTGCCCTTTGCAAAAGTGGATGGTGATTTCTGCTCTACTCAGGGTTGTGCACCTGAAGCCCACACAGAAGTTTGCCTACCTGGGGCGCCTGGTTCATAAATTTGCCTGGAAGTACCAAGCAGTGACAGCCATTCTGGAGGAGAAGAGGAAGGAGAAAGTCAAGATCCATTAGGAGAAAGAATGGGGAGGGGCAAAGGGGGAAGGAGCAGTTTATGAGGCTGCAGAAACAGGCTGAGAAGAATGTGAAGAAGAGTATCGGCAGATACACAGAGGTACTCAAGACCCATGGACTCCTGGTCCGAACCCAATAAAGAGTATTTATTCCTCACTCTTGGCCTAGCCTGCCCTTTTTCCGTTGCTGCCCTAGTTTTTGGGGGAACCCAAAGGTGACAGTTCTGATGTCCAAGTGCCACAGGCAATCACTAAGGAGTGGCCTGAAAGACAGCAGTGAGGGGAATACCTGTAAGTGGGCAGAGCTTTGGTTTATGGCTCAAAGTAAAGTTATACATTAATTTATGGGCACTAGCAAAAGGCTTCCTGTTTGGTCACGGGCTGGAAGGACAAATATTGCGGATAAAGAGGTCTGGGAAAGAGGCATGTGGATGACCCTATAAAATGGACATGAAATGTGAAGATCTTTGCTTCATGTGTTAATACCCAACAGAGAGAATCCATCAAAGATGCACCAGATAACCATAAGGAACGATGTCCCGGCCAGATGACATCAGCCAGTCTCTGCCATTGGCTACACTAGTATTGGCCCAATAGGTAGCCATAGGTGCAGAGATGGAGGTTATACATGGGCCTAATAGCATGGCTCCCAATTAACAAGGCTGATCTAGCTACCACCACTGTCAAATGTCCAATTTACCAGCAACAGAGGCCAATGCTTGGCCCCCAAGGCAGCACCATTCCTTCAGCAGACCTACGAGCTATTTGGTGACAAGTTGTCTACACAGGACCCATTCCATCCTGGAAGTAGTATCAATTTATCTTTATTGGAACTGAAACATATTCCAAGTTGGATCTCCTGCCTGAAGGGTCTCAGGTAGTACCACTGAGGGCTTAAAGTGTTTGATCTACTGACCTAGGATTTGGTACAGCAGTGAGCACAGGACCATGGGCTCTACTGGTCCTACTATATACTACACCACCTAGAAACTGGTACTGATTGAGCACTGGGATGACCTGTTAGAGGTTCAGCTGGGGTGCTAGGTTGCAAAGGATACCCTGTGAGGAGGCACCATACCCCAGGACTCAGTGTACACTCTAAACTGATATTCTCAAATGTGAGAATACAAGAATCCAGGAGCTAAAGAGTAGAAATAGGAATATCTCTGTATATTATGATTCCCAGAGATTTGCTTAGGGAAGTCGTACCTTCTTTCTCCTTAACTTAGAGATTTCGGCTACCAGAGAGAAAATGTTTCCACTAGCGGACACAATAAGAGTCCCATGGAGTGGAGTGTAAGCTGCTGCCTGGTCATTTTAGACTTCTCATTCCAAGAAACAAGGAGACAAGGAGAGGAGTCACCATTCTGGCAAGGGTAATTGATCCTGATTTCAGTAGGGTAGCTGTTCCACAAAAGGGATACGAAAGAATATGTTTGATACCCAAGTGACCCATTTGTGTTTCTCTTGGTTTTTGCTTGCCCAATTTACATGGTCCATGGAAAAGTGTAGCAGCTACAACCTGAGAAGAATTTGGTGATGAAGGACTTGGGCCCCTCACTGAAGAGGGTTTGAGTTATTCCACTAGGTAAGCTACTGTCTTAGTGTGTTTGGGCTGCTATAATAAGTATCACAAATTACATGGCCTATAACAACAGAGTTATTTCTTGTAGTTCTGTAACCTGTAAAATGCAAGATCAAGGTACAAGCAAATTTAGTATTTAATGAGGGCTCACTTCCTGGTACCTTCTTGCTGTGTCTTCACATGGTGGAAGAGGCAAGGCAGGTGTCTGGGACCTCTTTTATAAAGGCACTAATTGTATTCACGAGGGCTCTGTCTTCATGACCTAATCACTTCCAAATCACCCACCTAATACTATCACATTGGTGACTAGTTTCAACATACAAATTCTGGGGATACCCAAACATTCAGTCCATAGCAGCTACCTAGACCAGCAGAGAGTGAGGGGAATCTAGAATGGGTAGTGGAGGAAGGAAGTTACTGCACCAATTATGGCCCCAAGAGCAGCTTTTGAGGCTGTAATTAATCCCACCAACCTTCCTCTAGTAAGTTTCTCCAGTTTCTTGGAAGCCCCACAGAATTTTGGAAGAGCTGCTCCTAGATCTTATATTCATAGAGTAGACAGTAGCGGATATCATGCGTGGTGTACAGATTTCCCCCAATCCAGGAATGAAGCAGTCATTCCACCAGATGCTCAAAGTGTTCAAGGCTGACAACTCTCAACTGAATCCTTCACCATCACTTACCCTCTGCTGAAGAAGGCCTTCTCACCTTTCTGGGTACAGCCAAAATGATTGGTCAGTGAGATGGCATAAAGTCTTCAGAATTCCCTGCAGGAATGGCTGAGGCCTCTGTTGGACTTCACTGCAGGTCAACTTCTTCCTTTGCCTAAGCCTGCTTTCTTTACTTGTTCTACAGGTGGATCCTAAGAGCACCCACCAATGAAATATCTGCACTCTAATCTTTATCTCAAAATATTTCCCATGGAATTTGACCTGTGACAGTTTCCTTTCCCCACATATCCCTTAACTGTGAAGACCCTTAATATTGTAAATTTTTAAAAAATCAAAATTGCTTAAATAATGAAGGAGACTTATTGGCTTACATAACTAGACAGGTATCAGGATTTATTTGATCAGGGGCTTACTAATTTCAACAAGAACCTAGTTTTGCTCCACCTGCTTTCTGGGCCTTCTACAGAGGCAGCATTATTCCAAAGCTAGGCTAGTTCATGATAACAGAGTAGCTACAGTAATTCCAGGTTTAAATTCTCACCTCTCATCATCCAAACAGGAAGAGAGCACGCTTTTAGTAGCTTTATCTGAAGAACAAGGAAGTCTTTCTCAGTCACCAGCTCTTCGAGTGTTAGTGACACAAATTGGCCAAAGGAATGTTTGGGTTTCCTAAACTATCCACTGTAGCAAGAAGTATAGGATTACCTTGAATGGTCTGAAATAGTCAGGGCTGCTTCCTGGAATTTGTGTTGTGTTTTAATCTTTGCCCCCAACAATCACATGACTACTACACAAGGTGTTAGAATGGAAGTGATGTTGTGGAGGCAAAGTCTATTGGTTTGTTAGGGGTGCCATAAGGAAAAAAAAAAAAAATCACAGACTAAGAGGCTTCAACAAACAGAAATTTATTCTCTCACAGTTCTGGAGGCTTGAAGTCCAAGATCAAGGTGTTGGCAGGAGTGCTTCTTCAGAACCCTCTCTACTTAACTTGTAGATGGCTGTCTTGTCTCTGTTTTTATGGTCTTCCTTCTGTGTGCATACATGTCTGTGTCTGTATCTCCTCTTCCTAAAAGGACATCAGTCATATTGGATTGAGGCCTACCCTAAAGAGCTCATTTTAAAACAGTCACCTCTTTAAAGACCTTATATACAATATGGTTATGTTCTCAGTTACTGGGAGTTAGGACTTCAACACATGAATTTCAGGGGACACATTTCAGCCCGTAACACAAACCCAACATCAGCATCAATTACATATTATGTTCATCTGCTTGACTGCTGCACTAAATTGTAATTTCTTTAAGGGCAGGGACAACATCCCTCGTGTAGAGCCCAGTACACAGTAGGTACTCAATATGAGATAACTGCTTGTTGAAGACTATAAAGAGTTCATTGTAGGCCAGGGGTGCTGGCTCACACCTATAATTCCAGCATTTTGGGAGGTCAAGGCAGGCGGATCACCTGAGGTCAGGAGTTTGAGACCAGCCTGGCTAACTAATAGCAAAACCCCGACTCTACTAAATATACAAAAATTAGCTGGGCGTGGTGGTGATGCCTGTAGTCCCAGCTACTCGGGAGGCTGAGGCAGGGAGAATTGCTTGAACCGGGGAGGCAGAGGAGGTTGCAGTGAGCCGAGATTGCGCCACTGCACTCCAGCCTGGGTGACAGAGCAAGACTCCTTCTCAAAAAAACCAAAACCAAAACAAAACAAAAAAAGAGTTCAGTGTATTTGGCACTTACGAGGTCACAGTGACTTTTTCCAGGTCAGACTTCACAATATAAAAATTAAAACCTTATGACAAAAGCTACCATGAGCAAAGTCCAAAGATGATTATGAAAAAAAAATAGTACCTGCACATATGGAACACCAGGAGTTAAGAGTTGTAATACACAAGGGATCATATAGATAGATCAGAAAAGGATGAAAACTCAACACAAAATACGACGACTATGAACAGTCCAAAAATATGAAAAGAATTCAACTCCACTAGCAGTCAGCAAAAAGCGAATTGAAACAACAGTGAAATAGCATTTAATGCCTATCAGACTGACAAAAATTTCAGATTCATGCGTTAGTCCTGGCAAGGGTGTGGGAAATGGGTTTGTTCTACATTTAGATTGGAATATGAACTAAAATAATTCTAGCGGTAGAGGTAATCTGGCAGTGTGTCAGTCATAACAGCATTGGTCACAAGTAACAGCAAACTCAACTCAAAAAAGTTACTTATTAAGTCACATAATTGAAAGTCTACACACAGCCCTATTTAGGTTACCTAAATGGTATCATTAGAACCTAGTCTCTTTTCATGTCTTACTTTTGTCCTCTGAGGAGAAGTCATTCTCAGTAAGGGTCTCTTTTTGTGAAGGGAGGTTACATATTCCCATCGACAAGTCCAGCACAGAACAAACGTCTCTGATCTAATTCTGCTTGGCTTGAATTGATTCATGTGCCTATCCCTGAACTACAGAACATTAAAACTAGTGGGGTACTACATTCTTATTAGCCAGTCCTGAGTGAAAGTCCAATGTAGAAGCCAACGGAGGACCCAATTCCATTTGTAACCTACAGATTGAGAGGAAGAAGACTAATTCATCTGAAAACTGTTATGGAAAAAACCCAACAAAACAACAAAACATAAAACCCACAACCCTCTACAGGCAGTATCTATTAAAATATATTTTTAAAGGCACATATCTACGGTTTTGACAATCTCACTTTTAGGATCAATTCTATACAAAAATGCGTATTTTTAAAAAGATATACATATAAGGATATTTATTCCAGCATCACTTGTAATGACACAAAATCTATAAATCTGTATTATCTATCAATACAGAAATAGTTTCAAAAATTATGGTACAACAGGCCAAGTATGGTGGCTCACATCTGTAATCCTAGTGCTTTGGGAAGCTAAGGCAGGAGGATCACTTGAGGCCAGGAGCTGGATACCAGCCTGGGCAACATTGCAAGACCCTGTTTCTACCAAAAGTTAAAAAAAAAAAAAAAAATTAGCCAGGCATGGTGGCTCATGCCTGTAGTCCCAGCTACTGGCAAAGTTGAGTCCAGGAATTCAAGGCTGCTGCAGTCAGCTATGATCACTCCTGGGTGATGATACAGAAAGATCCCTCCCCCCCAAAAAATGGTACATTAATACTATAAAATATTATGCAACTAGTTAAAAGAATGAGCTGAATATTTATAATTAACTATTGAGTTAGAAAATGTGCAGAAAAACATACATAGTGTGATTATTTGTAAAAATAAAAATAAAAACCTATGTGTTTCTAAAACACATTAGAAAAAGTATTGAGAGAAACGCCAATCTTTTAACATTGGTATTGTCTAGGACTGGGATAGGGAGAAGAAAATGATCTTTTTCTTTATATACTTCTGAATATATTCTATATAGTTCTGTGTGGTTAGAATTGTTAAAATTAATGCGTATTACCTTTTAAAAAGAGTAAATAGAAACTGAAATGAAGAAGCAGTCTTAGAATTTAAATTGTGTTTAAACCTGGAGGAAAGAGACATAAGATAGTCTTCAGTAAAGGAGACATTAAACCTATCGAAGACCAACTAACTCACGGAGCCACATCCTGAGGGGACAGAAGGGAGCTGTTTCAGATCAGAGTCCCAATGTACAAGGGCTGTGATGGTTTCACTGTTCCACAGGGAAATGTAAACAAACAGAATAGTATTACATAACATTTAGTTTTTTGGCTTGAAAATGCATTTCTTTTCTTTTCTTTTTTTTTTTTTTTGAGACGGAATCTCGCTCTGTTGCCCAGGCTGGAGTGCAGTGGCCGGATCTCAGCTCACTGCAAGCTCCGCCTCCCGGGTTTACGCCATTCTCCTGCCTCAGCCTCCCGAGTAGCTGGGACTACAGGTGCCCGCCACCTCCCCCGGCTAATTTTTTGTATTTTTTAGTAGAGACGGGGTTTCACCGTGTTAGCCAGGATGGTCTCCATCTCCTGATCTCGTGATCTGGAAAATGTATTTCTTTTAAAGAAATCATGGTGACAAAAGATGGAAGGACTTCACAAATATATACTGTTACTTGTCAAGATTAAAAAGATACCAGCCCTATATCTGCTTTCAAATTGTTAGAAATGTGAATGGCCTATAAAGCAAGTCTGAAAAAAACAGATCTATGGCACAAGTAGAAAGCTAAGCCATGCCTAGTGTTCCATTATTGGAACGCTAAGCATGTGGGAGTTATATCCTACTGCTCAAGGTCATCGCCTAGGTCTGATTGCAAAAATTCAAAAAATTGCAGCCAGGCGTGGTGGCTCACGCCTGTAATCCCAGTACTTTGGGAGGCCAAGGCAGGCGGATCACGAGGTCAGGAGATCGAGACCATCCTAGCTAACATGGTGAAACACCGAGGCTACTAAAAATACAAAAAATTAGTAGGGCATCGTGGCGGGAGCCTGTAGTCCCAGCTACTCGGGAGGTTGAGGCAGGAGAATGGCGTGAACCCGGGAGGCGGAGGTTGCAGTGAGCCCTGATCGCGCCACTGCACTCCAGCCTGAGCGACAGAGTGAGACTCGGTCTCAAAAAAAAATTGCAACCTCAGGCATAAATGGGTTAAACAAGAGAATAGATAGTTCTTCCTCTGTGATAGAGGAAGACAACTAGGCATGGATGTACACAGTTGTAGATAGACTGTTGGTAGAGGGAAAGAAGTTGAGGAGTTTCTCTCTTACAATGACTGGTGAGATCGTTTGCTGGGTTCAGGGTTAAGGGGCTCAGCAGCAGTGGCTGTGAGGCTGAGACTTGAGGGGAGTGATAAACATGTAGAAGAGGTGCTGTTGGGGATGGAAGACCAACCTGAGAGTGTACTAGAGTCTTCAAATTTGGATATACCTGTCTGTATTTGGTTTGGGTTACCAGCCCTTTAATGAAATTGTCTTTGGTTCCTGTATTAGGGTTCTCCAAAGAGAGTTCTCCGTCTCAAAAAAAAAAAAAAAATTATGGTACATTAATTCTACATAATATTATGCAGCTAGTTAAAAGGATGAGCTATTTATAATTAACTGTTGAGTTAGAAAGAGTTGAAGAAAAATATATATGGTGTGATTATTTGTAAATACACAAATGAAAACTTCCATGTGTTTTAAAACGTTAGAAAAAGTATTGAGAGAAACTTCAATCTGTTAACATTGGTTTTGTCTAGGACTGGGATATGGAGAAGAAAACAATCTTTTTCTTTATATACTTCTGAGTATATTTTACATACTTCTGTGTTTGAATTGTTAAAATGAATGCCTATTACGTTTAAAAAAGAGTAAATATAAACTGAAAAGAAGAAGTACTCTTAGAATTTAAACTATTTTTAGATCTGAGGCAAACAGAACTAATAGGATATATAGATACATGAGAGGGGATTTATTACGGGAATTGGCTCCTGTGATTATGGAGGCTAACAAGTCCCTCAACAGGCTATTTGCAAGCTGGAGATGCTGGTATGCTGGGAGTGCAGCTCAGTCTAAAGTCTGAAGACCTGATGGTGGGGGTGCTGGTGTTAAGCACTGGAGCCCAAAGGCCAGAGAGCCTGGCGTTTTGATGTCCAAGGCCAGGAGAAGAGTGTATCCCAGTTCCAGAAGAGAGACCGTTTTTGTTCTACCCAGGCTCCCAGCTGATTGGATAGTGCCTGCCCACATTGAGGGTGGATCCTTCCCTTTTAGTCCACTCAGACTCACATGCCAATCTCCTCTGTAAACACCCTCACTGACATACCCAAAAATAATGCTTTACCAATTCTCTAGGTATTCCTAATCCAGTCAAGTTGACATCTAAAATTAACCATCACAGTTCCTTTCTATGTTCTCCTTCTTTTATTCCATCTCCCTCCCCAGGCTTTGTTTTTATTATTTTATATTCTTTTTATATTTATATTCTTCCTTAGTTTTTTGCTAAGGAATTTTTCAAGGAATGCAATTTTGTTTTTGTACATATTTGAAACCACTATACTGTCTGAGACACTGTATTCATTTATATACATTCTCAAAGCACCTCCCAAATAGATGTCCAATTAATTGTTGCTGAAATAAATTTAATTCCACATAGAAAATAATTGGATAGTATCATCCTGATTAAAACACTTCATAGTCGTGACATGAAATAACTATTCTTCTTCTTATTATTGGAGACAGGGTCTTACTCTGTTGCCCAGCCTGGAGTGAGGTGGCATGATCATGGTTCACTGCAGCCTCAACCTCCTGGGCTCAAACGATTCTCCCACCTCAGCCTCCCAAGTAGCTGGACTACAGGTGTGTGCCACCATGCCGGGTCACCATTAGGTTTTTAAAAAATTCCTGCAAACTATTTTTTCCTCACATGGATATTGTATATTTGGTCATGTTTTCCTTATATGAATTTTAAAATTTATATCACTCCTTTCTTTTTTTGAGACAGTGTCTTGCTCTGTCATCCAGGCTGGAGTGCAGTGGCGTGATCACAGCTCACTGCATCCCTGACCTCCCAGGCTCAAGCAATCCTTCCAGTGCGCACCACTACAGCTGGTGTTTTTTTATTTTTAGTAGAAACTAGGTCTCACTGTGTTGCCCAGGCAGTATATCCTTTGAATTCACACATTTTTATTGCCATAAAAATGCCAGAGATCATTAAAATAAAAATATCCTCTCTTATAGAAACTAAGGACCAAAAAGTTAGGTGATTTGTTCAAAACTGAAAAGGTGTTAAGTGACAGTATTAGAACCATACTTTTTCTTTTTTGTTTTTTTGAGATGGAGTCTCACTCTGTCGCCCAGGCTGGAGTGCAGTGGCGCCATCTCGACTCACTTCAACCTCCACCTCCCAAGTTCAAGTGATTCTCCTGCCTCAGCCTCCTGAGTAGCTGGTAGCTGGGATTACAGGCATATGCCACCACGCCTGGCTAATTTTTGTATTTTCAGTAGAGATGGGGTTTCACCATGTTGGCCAGTCTGGTCTCGAACTCCTGACCTCAAGTGATCCACCCACCTCAGCCTCCCAAAGTGCTGGAATTACAGGTGTGAGCCACCACGCCTGGCCAGAACCATGTTTTTCAATCCAGTATATTTATACCATGATTTCCTCCCTTAATTTGATTTTTATACTGTATTCTATTCATAACAGTTAAATTAAAACAGCAGTTATTTCTGAAAAAGCTCCATCAAAATTAATACGTTGATTACCCATTTTTAAAGGTGCCATTGTAGGTTTCTGTTGCTATGTGACAGGATTGATATTTTAAGTGCCTGGTAAAGTGCAATACACCAAGTGGACATTCAGTTGAAGGCTGTTTTATGATGCGTATCATTTGTGCTTTTTATGGTTAAAATCAAATCTAAAATGTTGACAACAATGGTTGGTATATCAACTTTACTCTTCCATTTTATAGCTCATCTTTTATATTTAGAACTCTGTACCTCTTCATTAAATTGTACATTTTAAAAATATGAAAACATCAGAGAGAATAATAAATCTTTACGTCCAAACCTAATGATGCTACTGCTGCATACGGAGAAATACACATGATCTTTTCTCTGGGAAGAATGGCCTATTGCAAACCACCACTCTCTTCTATTTGCACATGAAGGTAGAAACCACAGTGGCATTAAGAGCATTTTTCCTTAAGACATGCTCACATGATATCTAGGAGGCCACTGGTAAGAACGTTAAAACTTAGTCTCTGCTAGGAAATAAATACGTCGAAAGATTTGGTATTTTTTAGTTTTGATGAAACCATACTGTTATCATCAATTTAAAATAGTTTTCTATTTGGCAGATTTTATCATTTGGGCTTTAATTAAATTTTGAGAAAAAACACTTTCCTAAAACAAAACTGAGATTTTTAAAAAATATAAAACATACGCAGAAGCATGTTGCACCAGGAGTCCATATCAGGAGTTACACTCCTAGAGGCAGGACTCTCTAGAGTGAGTCCTAGAGATTGTATACATAGCAAAGCTACACCCTTATTCTGTTGGATGGCTCCTAAGTGTTGATCGGGTTATATCTTTCTACACTAATTTTCACTATTTCTCTTAACAATCATCCTTTATAATCATTCTTTATATCCAAATAGTATATATCCTGTACTATTTGCTCTGATTTTGACAGGGAAAGGTCCTTCATAAGAATTTTGTTCTTCCATGAGAAGAAAGCATTTTAATATCTCTAGCTCATTTTTCCCTCAAATATCCCAAATACAGTAAAGCCATCTAAATTCCCTAACCCCATATCAAAAACAGTACACTGAAAAACTCCAAAGACTTTGACAGCGACAAGGCTGCCATTCATGTGTTCCTTCAGCAAGTGCCAGACGCTGTTATGAAAGTGATAAGACACTGTCCCAATTCTCACAGTGTGAGACAGTGAGCAGACTCAACAGAATGCACACGATGAGAGTGCCAGAAAAGCGACGTCCTCAGGGCGGGAGCAGGGGATGCGGCAACGTAGTCTGCGAGAATGCGGGAAGGCGGCAGCGAAGCGGCCGGTAGGCAGGGCCGCGACAAAGTGGGGAGGAAACTCATCCCGGGCAGGCGTCAGCGTGGCTGGGAGAGCGCAGCGCGCGCGGACAGAACGGGGGCAGGCGACAGGAAAAGGTGTGAACGCGCGGCTGAAAGCGACTGGGACCTGGGTGATCCGCGCGCAGGGAGCAGAGCTTAGTCCTGCGGAAGCCGCAAGCAGGACAAGGGCGTGGGTGGGAGGACTGGAAGGTCAGCTGGTAGATGGGGGACACTGAGGGCGGACAGAGCAACTGGAAGCTTGCTGCAATCGACAAGAGAAACTAGGAGGTTAAAGAGTCACTGGCTTTGAAAAAGTCAAAATACTTCCGAGGTAAAACAAAACATTTAACAACCCGCCGAGGAAAAAAGTGGAGGCTGGCACACACGTCACTAACCACAACGTGGAGGTCTTTAAAGTAAATCATGATAAAGTTTTTGTTGTTGTTGCTTGAGACAGGGTCTCGCTCTGTCGCCCAGGCTGGAGTGCAGTGGAACGATCTCGGCTCACTGCAACCTCAGCCTCCCGAGTTCAAGCGATTCTCCCACCTCAACCTCCCGAACGAGGCCTTAATACGTTGCTGAAGCTGGTCTCGAACTCCTGGGCTCAAGGGATCCGTCAGCCTCGGCCTCCCAAAGTGCTGGGATTACCGGCGTAAAAGACCGCGCACCTGGTCCAAATTTAATTTTGTGATGTGGGGTTAAGACAGGGGAAAGCCCCTAGGCTCGGGGAGTCAGAGGGGAAAGCTCTCCCTCCGGCATCTAAAAAAATGCCCACCAGAAAGGAGGAAAAGTGGGCTTCTAAGTTACCTACTCTTCACCCCACTGGCTGCATTTCAGGTGGGCAGCGCCGCCAGGTGAACACTCAATCCACCGCAAACATACGAACACTCTTTTCAATATCAGATTACCATAAAGATAGAGGAACACACCCTGAGCAAAATCCTTCCTGTCCAGTCACCTTAAAGCCTCTTTCATTGTTCTCCGCGACGCAGCCTGTAAAACTGCCAAAGGAGCGCTGAGGCCAAAGTCCACGCGCTGCGCAGGCGCACCATCCGCAGCGTTGGCGAAAGGCGGGGCAGGAAGGACGTTTCCCAGAAGGCCCCTCCATCGCAGCTGCCCTTCCTCCCGCTCACAGGCCGCGCGACGTGACTCCACCCACCACGCTTCTCGGTCGCAAACAGCAGTTTGCCAGCGCCCCCCTGCGGCCCGGCTGGGCACTGCGAACATGCACTCAGGGCCAGAGCGAGAGAGTAGGCCGAGCGCGGCGAGTCCGGCAGCCGCCGTCGTCACCTTAGCGCGCCGACAGTGAGCCAAGCGAGCGAGGGAAGGGAGGAGGAGGGAGACGCGCGGGGAGGGGAGGGGAGGGGAGGGAGGAGGCTAGACAAGGCGGGGGAAGGGGGAGTAGCGGTGGCGCAAGTCGCGCGGAGCAGCGCAACCCGGGTCGCTCCCTGCTTCGCCGCCGCCTCCGGACCGAGCCAGCGGAGTCAGTGTCCCAGAGATCCTATAACACCACAAAGCGGACGAAGGAGTCCATGTTGGGGAACTTGTTGGCGGAGTGACTGGGACCTGGGAACCTGCTGTGTGGCCGCGGCCAGACCGAGCGCCTCGACCTCGGCCTGAGGTAAACACTGGTCGACCCGCGGGGTGGATGGGCTTGGGCAGCTGTCTGGGCTAGACGAGGGTTAGCGGCCGGCGCAGAGCGCTGGAGCGGGCCTAGGGCGACGGGAGGGCTGACAAAGTTTCGGAATCTCGCGCGGCCCGTGCGACGTCGTGCGCTGGGAGGAAAGTTGGAGCTGCCTCTCGAGGTGGGGGAGGCTGCGGCCGGGAGGGCCGCTTTCCCTCTCGCTGCCCCGCGAGGGAGGCCCGGCCCGACCCTGGGCCGCCGCCGCCTCTCTGTCGCACTCCGTCCCATTTCCTCCTTGTGGCCTACGCGCCTCCCGCCGCCTTAGCCGGCGAAGCCCGTCCCCGCCCGAGTGCAGGGTCCTACGGGGGGACAAGGGGCTCCACGCCAGAACCGCCGCAGACGCCCTCCTCCCTGCGGTGGAAACGTGTCCTGCTGAGCTTCCGGGCGCTCCCGACCGCGGGGTGGGCTTTTCTTGGGAGACTTTGGTCGCGAGCCTCCAAGCCCGCTAGTGAAACCAAACTTTACTACGCCGTGACCTCTCGTGTGCGCGAATGGGGAAGAGCCGGCGCTTCTAAGCATCAGCCTTTTTCACTCCGTGATCTGAACTTCAAACTACTCACCCACCCCCAGTGTTTTAAATTCGCTACCTGGGCTGACAACTACGGGGCCGGGAGATATCAATTTAGCCTAATCGGTCGCCCCTCCTCAGACTTAGGAATTTTGAACCATTAGAAAGATTTCTTACAGATGGCTGGCGGTCTTGCCACCAACACGTATTTTGGAGTATTGTTTCAAAAGTAGACGCTCGATTTAGAGTACTAGATTTAGACATTCACAGATTCAAATATTGAATTTTGAAATACCTTCAATATATTTCCGTACTGTATTACATACAGTGTCTACCTGTATTACATACAGTGAATGACTGTTGTTCATTCATTTTGGGTTACATTTTGGCTAACATGCTACCACTGACCTAAGATACGTAAGCAAAACTGCTGAAAAATGTTTTTAATGCTTTGTGTAGTAGATGCTGATGTTACATTTTCTCCGCTTTGGGAATTACCCCCGAAATTTGGGAAAAGCATATTAATAAATGCATTTTTTCATTTTAAAAAGAAAAATTAATTTCTACATATCACTACCTGCCTCAGCAGCAGAATATCAGGGCAGTACATTTTAAAATAACGGTTTTTGTATTTTATTAGTAATTGTATTAAAATTTTGACATGTAATCAAGTCTGTTTCTAAACAATTGCTTTCTCTTTCCTGTTTCTTTGGCAGTTGGCTTGATCATCTCACTATTTTGGTCAAAAGATGCAAGAAAAAAGTTCATGGGCCTTTTGTTTTTGTTGTTTTAACTCGGTGGGCAAGAGAAATGAAATCTTGAAACTGTCTTTGGATTTCTTGTGTTCTATATTATCCTATCGGATAATCTGAATTTACATTTTTTATGCAATGTGAGTTTTTTAAAAATAGTAGTTCTTAGGGTAGCTGTATTTTAGCTGTATTTTTTGGTGCTTGCAAAGTATTTTTTGGTGCTTGCAAATATTTTAACAGTCATTCAGTTTTTCACATTCAGATAGTGAACTTTTTGCCTGAGGGTTTGAGTACATTTTAAGATTTCATTGGGGTAAAATTTGAATGTTTGCTTACTGTAAGTATACTCATGCTTTAAAGACATTCTTCAGTATAAAGGGGAAGAAAACTGTAGAAGAAAATTTAAAGTTTCTAAATATGTTGCCTGAAAACATGTCATGGAGGATATATTACGGAGAGTTTTTTTACTTTTTCTGTTAATACCTTCGTGTGGTAATGGGGCCAGTGTGTTAAGATCAAAACTTTTCAGGAGTTACTTAGCTCCCTATCGTCGTTTGGCACCAGCTAGGGCTTAGACAGTTTTCTTGAAAACCTGTGCTTTTATTCACAGAGATAGGATGAATCAGTGCAGTTACATGATACTGTTGATTCATCATCAATAACATCTTTTAGTAATCAGAAAGTGCAGTATTATACTACCCATCAACTTAATACTGAACTTTTAAAGTATACTATCGGAGATAGTCGTAGCATCTTAAAGAGAGTAGCAGGCATAAAAGTAATAAAAGGGAAGTCAACTGTAGATTAATTTTCATTGTAACTTCCCTTTAGCAAACCCTGCTATCACCTGCTCTTGTCTTTTAATGATGTAAATTGTACCTTGACAAGGTTTACCTTGCCCAGTGAAATAAACTTAAAATCCAGATTTTTAATTATAGTCTGTCCCCCAAAATAAATTAATAGCCTTGCACCTTGTCTTGCTTCTGAGCAGTAATACTGTTAGTAATACTATTACTCAGAAGTAATACTGAGTAGAGCCCAGAGTTAAAATATCCAGTATCATTTTCTTGCTATTCCCAAAACTCATCTTTGCATTATATATTTTTTTTAGTTGTATCTATCAACTTAATATATGAATTCCTAGTACATAGAGACATAAAAATTCAATACAAAGCATAAAAACACAACCACTATTTTGCTTTCAGAAATATCTTCCTAAAAAGTCACTGTGATCTTTGCTGATCTACAGTCTTTAACACTCCATAGCCAGAGTGATCCTGATAAAATGTCAGGTCATGTAACTTCTATTCTCAGATGACTTCCCTTCTCAGTCATAGTAAATTCCATACTCCTATGGTCTACAAGGCTCTATGATTTGAGTGTCTTCTTTCTCTCTGACTTCATCTCCTCACTGTTTCTCCAATCTCCTTTCCCCTATGCTGTTGTGGTCTTTTCTAACTACTATGCGTAAAACAACAGCCTTCCCCCCGGTATTTCGTATCTGTTTTTATACCAGATTTTTCTCCATAGCATTTATCATTTTGCAACATGCTGTGTAATTTACTAACTGAGGTTTATTGTTTATTTTCTTCACTCTAATTTAGCTTCTGTGAGGTCAGCATTTGTCAGTATTGGTCACTGTTTTGTCCCTAAACACCTGAACAATGCCTTACATGTAAGTTAATGAATTAACATGCTTTCAGCTATAAACATTACAAATAGTGATTGTGGTTTGAAAGTTTAGACTAAGCAAGTCTCTGTGGCATAAACTGCCCAGTTACTTATATCCATGCACATGAGCCATGTTCATTTCAGGGGTCCTTGTTTTTTGTTGTTATTGTTTGTTTTGTTTTTGCTTTCAGATAGCATCTCACTCTGTCTCCCAGACTGGAGTGCAGTGGTGTGATCACAGCTCTCACTATGGTGCCCAGGCTGGTCTCAAATTCCTGGGCTTAAGTAATCCTCCCACCTTGGCCTCGCAAAGTGCTGGGATTGCAGGAATGAACCCCCACACCCAGCCTAAGGGGTGTGTGTTTTTAGAGGAGTGTGACAGTATGTGACCTTGAAACTATCATTTGTCTTAATATAGAAGGAGCTAAGAATGCCTCAGCTAAGAGTAGAGCAGTGTAATAGTTTGTTTTCACGCTGCTAATATACCTGAGACTGGGAAGAAAAATAGGTTTAATTGGACTTACAGTTCCACATAGCTAGGGAGGCCTCAGAATCATGGTGGGAGGAGAAAGGCACTTCTTACATAGTGGTGGCAAGAGAAAATGAGGAAAATGCAAAAGCGGAAACTCCTGTTAAAACCGTCAGATCTTGTGAGACTACCATGAGAACAGTATGGGGGAAACTGCCCTGTAATTCAAATTATCTCCCAACAGGTTGCTCCCACAACAGGTGGAAGTTATGGGAATACAATTCAAGATGAGATTTGGGTGGGGACACAGCCAAACCATATCAAGCAGTATAACTATCTTATTGTTAAAAATGTTGTCATTTAGAAGCCATATTAATTTCTTATAGTTCCAGAAGGCAGAACTAGGATTGTGGTGATATGTATTGAAAGGGAGGAGAGAGGCAGCAAGAGGAGATCTGGGAGAATTAGTTAGCAGGCTTTTCTAGTAGTCTGGGAGAGATGAGGATAACTTGAATTAGGATGATAATTGTGGAGATGGGCTCAGTGGATGGGATTTGAGACCAGCAGGCCTCAGTTAATAGATTGAAAGTGAGGGAGAAAGAAATTTGAAAGATGACTTCTGGATTACATTCCTAGGTTGTGCCAGATAAGGACAAGAGCTCTTTTGGTTTTAATATATCAGGCTTAAAGTACCTTTGGAGCTTTCAGGTAGAAGTTCCTGTAAGTAATTAGATGTATGGTTCTAAAATCCAGAGGAGGAATATGGGCCGGAAATGGAAAACTGGAGTCACCCATACAGATAATTGGAACTATAGGTATGGATGAAATTGCCTAGGTGAGGGAATATAACTTGGGGGGAAAAAAGCTTAGGATGGAACCACAATGACCTCTAACATTTAGAAAACTTGGCTGGAAGAATGTGAGCTCCCAGAGAATACTGTGAAGATCAGAGAAGTAGAGGGTGAGTGGGGTGTTACAGAAACCAAAGGAAGAGAGTGTTACAAGGAGAGAGAAGTCAAGAAGAGAGAGTTGGGTCAAGTGTTGATAAAAGTTTAATAAGGTAAGAACTAAAAAAAAAATTTGTTGACTGTAACAATGTGAAGTTCATTGGCCCTTTGAACAAGCAGGACAGTAAGGTGATGCTTCTATAATTGCT